GTGCCTGAACCGCATCAAGAAGTGCTTGAAACTATCAAAAACTAGAAGCACAAACCATAATGTAATTCACCATTTTTGTGACATCTTTAAGGATATCATCTAATTTTTGCTGCCTTCTCTGGCACAAAGAGCTTCTGGCTGTATAATACAATGCGACTGAATGACTGGATATTTTGATTCTTTAACAAAGAGCTGTATGGAACCAGATGTTGCCCTTAGCATGCAAGGTGCCCCATCACTAGTAATTGAAATCACTTTTTCCAGTCTTATGTCTTGTGGCAAAAAAGCCTCTATCACAGCACTGTAGGTCTCTGTTTCTTGTGTTCTTCCAGGCAAAGACATCAGTTTTACCAGCTCATCTCTTATGATGTCACCAAAAGCATAAAGCAAAATTACTGCTAGCCTTGCATGATCATTTATATCTGTGCTTTCATCCAAGCGCATGGAATAACAGGCACTGCTTTTAAGTCAGCAGTGAGGTGCTAACATCACTTGCCATGTACAGGACTCGATCTTTAACAGTATTTCTGCTAAGTGGCATCTCAGAGATGCATTGCATACTTTTTTCCTTGTTTGGGAAATCATGAAAAAGGGAGTTACAGGACCAGTTAGTGTTTATATTGTTTGATCAGTTTTACATGTCTATATCTGGTAATATGAACATCTACTTTGAAGATAACAATATGCAATATAATAACCACTGTTAATTTCCTTTCATCTTGTTTTGACATTCTGTACCATTTATTGTGTTTTTTAAAAATTCTCTTTAAAATAAAAAAAATCCTAAAAAAGGGAATTACTCCCAGACAACATGGACATTTTGATAAAATCCCTATCAGAGAGGAGCTTGCCATGTCTTGCTCTGCACAGTGAAATTTGAAAGCTGACAGCTGTCACGTGATTTATTTTAGGGATTGGGAAAAAAGAAGAATCAAGATATATCATATGCAGGTACAAACTCCCTATGATGAATATGATCATTATGTATATCTACATTGTACCAATAAACAATAAAAAAAGAAGAGGAACCTTACTTGAAAAAACAAACAAGCAAGCAAACAAAAAACAACAACAAGAAGGAAGAGTGTTGCAAAAACAAAGCTACTGGTTTTAGTTTCACCAAGTTCGGCACCACTTTTGTGGTTGACGTCGAAGTGCCTGCCGTCTAACACTTGATGTGTGAAACACAACACTGTCACTACACAGAATACGTAATGTTTCGCATTGTGTCCAATCACTCCAAATGACTCCATCCAGGCCTCCTGGAATGATCTCCACTGTTTTCAGTTTTGTTTTTCTTACTGTAGTCATTTTTTGGTGTTCAAGATTTGGAGTCTACAAAAACGTAAAATTTTAAAAAATGAAACACCCATACAACTCTATACCAAAAATAGATAACACTATTAGTTAACACTAAAAAAATTACATTCCCTGAATCAACAGTTTATGGCAGTGATCCTCAGCTGGGGTTCCTCTTTAATTTGCTGACCACTGCCACAAGAGGGCACTGTTTCACTGACTACCGGCTTTTGGCCTTCTCTGAAAAAGGCATCTGAGTGCATTTCCTACCTTGTGTGGGTTTCTGCTAAAGTCACAGTCAGTTCAAGGAAATATATATATCCTTGCCCTTCGTTTTATAAATTCTTCACAAATCACTAAATATGATGCTGCAGATTCAAATATGTCCAGGAGCCAGTGCAGCACTAAAATAATCTGTTGCTTAATTAGAATATCTCTTTGATAAATCTTGGATATTAAATTTAAATTTTTCATAAGAAAACTAAAAGCTAGAATTTTGTGTTACTGAAAATGATTGTATTAAAATTCACAGCCAGTCCAAGCAAAAATATATATATCCTTGGCAGTGCATTCGACCAGCCATACGAAAGCTTGGGATGAACTGAGGCTGAGGGGCTGCATTTTGTGACATCATTGCCTGGTGCCACTGCTCCTTTCTGAGCATGTCCATGGCCCCTGTGTGTGGCGCCGTCCAATGCTTGGCTCGTGGGGCAATGCTGGGGTGACATGGCTTGCATGGTAACAGAGAGGGCTCCGCATGCCTGCTGCAACGCGTGTGCCATAGGGTTTCCGCCCATGCTGCCTAGGCTGTCTGAACAAAAGCATGACATCCAAAACAAGAAGAAGAGGACCCCACTCTAGGCTGTGCTGAGCTGATTGTATCATGAGTACTGTTCCCAATTTTGGGCAAAAAATGTTACGAAATATATTAATAAACCAATGTTGTCAAGACTCACGAGGACCATCTTGAAAAACGTTCTACAAAATCAAGGAATAGCAGTAGGTACACAAGAATGTTTTATACCCATCACAATAATTATTGGTATCCCAACACTTCTATCATCCCTAAAAGTTCAAGTGTGGGAATTCTCAAGTGTCAAGAAGAGAAGTGACTCAGCGGGGGGAGGATTTCTATGTCTGTGCTGTATACTTGAAGGTAGGGATTTAGGTTTACTCACATTAACTTGGAAACTGATGCATAGGACTGCAATAAAAAAAATAAACTCTGCTGAGTTCAGTGCTGAGGCTACTCTGCCTCATTGTTCTGTCCCTCTTATTCTTCAGGCAGTGATGGAGGTAGGGAAGAGCACATGGGTAGCTGGTCTTGGGAGAACAGTACCCTGAGGCCATTTGTACAATGACTCAATATTTCATTATTGATCAGAAACTGACCAGGTATACTTTTTAAGAGTTCTTGAGTTTGTGTCACTTCCTCAGTGTTTTTTTGTTTTTTTGAAGTTTTTTTTTGGTTTTTCTCTGGTACGAGGAACCGAACTCACGACCTTGCGCTTGCCAGGCAGGCGCTTTGCCGCTGAGCTAAATCCCCAGCCCCTACTTCCTCAGTGTTTTTATTCCTTGTTTCTTAAACTATTAAATATATTAATATTAAAAGAGTTCTTAAATATTTCTTAAAACCAAAGAACAGCAAGGAAGCAAGTCTTACTTAGTCTTAATCTAACCAGAGTTGGGGTAAGACTGATGGCTGAAAGAAATAACAAGGGGAATCAAATAGGAGACCCAGTCTTTATGGTTCTGTGTATCAATTATGCTCACTTTGGTTGCAGGTTAAAAGCAAGCCCAGGAAAAGGGCTTAATAACTGTCTTGGCTACTTTTCTCTTGTTGCTGAGACAAAATATTCAACACCCAAAATTAGGGAAGGAAAGGCTGATTAAGCTCACAGTTTGTGGAGGTTTCAGTCCATAATCAGCTGGCCCCAAGGCAGGGTGGCATGGCACAGGGGCAACAGTTCAAGGTAGCAGAAGGCAGCAAAAACAGCAAGAGCAAAAGAGCCGGGGCAAGCCTCATTTTCCTCCCTTATATTGTAAGCAGGCTATCGCCCCCTCCAGGGTGAGTGTAGCATTCACACCATCTCTTTGACTTGCACAGGATGAGGAGATTTACAAAGTAGGACCCTGGCTCCCAGCTGAGTTGCTTAAACCTCTAAACTTCTTAAGTTGACACAAAGTATCAACCATTACAATAACAATGGCATTTCTTGCTTTCTTAAATTGTGGAGGTAGATTCTTAGTATAAAAATGTTGTCAGAGATGCCGGTTCTCCCCCCTCCCTTTCTTTCTTTCTCCCTTTCTCGCCCTCTCTCTCTCTCTGTCTCTGTCTCTGTCTCACTCTCTGTCTCTCTCTGTCTCTCTCTCTCTGTCTCTCTCCTCTCTCTCTCTTTCTTTCTTTCTCTCTTTTATTTATTTATTCATTTAATTTATTTTTTCCATTCTGTGCTTTCCTCAGCATGTGGCTGTACCTTCTCTGTGTTTACAAATTGGTTACCACTATTCCAAACTCCACAGCCGGCTGGAAGATGTCTCAGGCAGGAAGGAAAAAGAAAAAGAGAAAAAAAACAACTTCTTCCTTGTAGTTGTTGCTTTTATCAGGACAGAAAGTCTTTTTCCATAAATGGTACCTAGAAATTTGACAACTCACTGGAAAGGATGAAGTCAACACACCTTGGTCATGTGAACATAGAATGAATATGAACTTAAACTTCTTAATTTCATTTTTTTGGGGTCAGGCACACTGACTTCTTAATGGAACTGGGACTTTGTAAGAAAGACGGGGAGCTGGCATGGACAACCAACAGGGTTCACCATAATGGTTTTTTTTTTTTGTTTGTTTTTTTTTTGGTTTTTCTCCGGTACCGGGAACCGAACTCACGACCTTACGCTTGCCAGGCAGGCGCTTTGCCGCTGAGCTAAATCCCCAGCCCCCACCATAATGTTTTTCTTCTCTTCTCTCTTTGATGTTACTTTAGGGATTTTGCCTATTGTACAACTACTACTCCCTCCCAAATCTATATCTATTCCTAAGTTTTCTTGAGGTCCAGGGACATTGTCATCTGCCCAGTATATATCTACATTTGAGTGTCTTGCAGTAGCTCAAATATGTGTCTAAAATTTTACACCTCTTACCTCATCCTGGAATAGAGAAGCACTTATATTTCCTCCAAAATATACTGATTAAAATACTACCGATCATCCAGTTTTCAGTATGAAGAAACAGGATTATCTTGAACTTCTCTTCCACATCCTCAATTTCTTTTGATTTTAACTTTTTTTTCCAACTCAATATATCTTGTATTCATGCTATTCAATGGACCTGTTAGTTGCTGTTAGGGTGATACTGTATGAGTTTGCATGAATATATGAACACATGTTTAGTGTATGGATATATGAATGCGTGTTCAGTGAGTTTTAACTGGGCCTGGAAGTATCATTCTTAATTCCATTTATGTACACTGGCAGTTAATAAAGGTGAGAGAAGAATTATAATGTCTTGGCTTGGTTTTATAAAGTAATATGAAGTATAGCTACTTATGTGAATTTTTACTATTTGTTGCTAATTACCACGGACTAAAATGGTGATCACGACAACACATAAGAAAACAAACTTCCTCCCACACACAAAGTAAAACAAAACACAACCAAAACGTCCTCGCAAAGCCAAAACACAAAAGACAACAGACTATAGGTCCAATCAAATTTGTTGCTTTATTCAATTTTGATTGAGATGATTACATTTCAGAAAAGAAATTTCAGATAACAGTGGTCCCATGGTTGCCAAGTTAAAATCCTCCCATTTTAGTTAGTTGAATTTAATTATGCATGAAGTTGAATAACTCAAGAATGACAAGGCAAGAATGAAACATTCTTGTTATTATCAGTTATCATCTCAAACAAAGTAATTAATATAGATTTCAGTTATCATCTCAAAGAAAGTAATTAATATAAATTTATTGTCATATTATAGGGCTCCCAAGTACTAGAGTACAGAGCTTCAGGGCTACAGAGAAGGCACTACTTGGACCTAGTGCTCTGGAGTGCTTCATCTGACTTACTCAGCCTAGAAACTCTACCATTGTTGAGCATGTCTGGTCACTCTTAGAGGATGCAAGGAGCCGCCATAAATATAATAATAATAATATAATTATTTTAAATATATTTATAAATACTTGTATAAATAACTTAAAAATAACATTCCATGGTCTGTCTTCTTCTTGAGGCTCAGCTTCAAGAGTTGTTTGACTAAAATGGCCTTACTATTTGACATTAAAAAAAACAGATGGTTTGGGGATATAGCTCAGCAGCACAGCACCTGCCTGGAAAGCCCAAGGTCATGAGTTTGATTCTCAGTACCAAAAAAATAAAACAAAACAAAACAAAACCAAAAAAAGGAGGCAGGAAGGACGTAGGTATCATTCTCCCCTTTTTGAAAATGGTAAAACTAAGATCCTAGAAACTATCCCTATTTGTCTAAGAGTCTATCAGTAATTTAGAAGCAGAAGGCACAAAGTTGGAATGGAATCCTAGGCCTGTGGTTTGTCATTCCAACTGCTATTTGTATATTTTTTAGTTTTCTTATGCCTTGGTTAACCTGCCTGTAGTATGAGTAGAGTCTTTTTGGGAACTGCTGTCAGTAGCCCTGGTCCTTCTATGAATGTTATGAAAAATGGTAATTAAAATGATTGGTACTGTGCAAAGTATAGGGTGTCCTTTAAATAACAAAGAGCATTATACGTTCATGTTGGTTCTATTAGATATTCCCTTCTCTTACGAAGATGGTAAACATTCATTTAGAATTACAAAGGCTCAGCACATGCTCAGCAAATGAGTAAGAGTAGAGATCGACTTCTTCATGTACGTGGTACATACAGACTAACAGACTCCAGAGCTGAGGCTGGTTTTAGGATATCAGAAAATCTTTCATATAGGTTGGTGCCTTGGCCATGAACACCTCACTGTTCACCTTTGTGGCAAGGTACAACTCTGAATTGACAGCTGACCTGAAGAAATTACGGCTTCTTTCAGTTTCCCAGAAGAAGATCAGGTTGAGGTCATTACCTGTGATGACTCTTGGTGTCTCAGGCATCTCCTATGATAAAGAGAACAGAATTACATTAGAGAACAAGAACTGAAGCCCGATCCTTTGGCATTTGCTTTTGTGAGAAGCAGCACGTTAGGACTATGACTCTAACATGATGATACACGTTCTTCATTCATTTATTCATTCATCAAGCACTTATTACATGCTAATTAGATGTATGGCCCAGTTTATTCATAAGAGTTGATTTCTTTAATTAGTTGGAGAGAGATCTAAATTAGTCATGAAGATTGTCAATGGAGCTAGTGTCTCACTAACTGGGCAGGTGGGGATGAAACCCTGTTTGTGTCCTGCCTTCAACATAGGCATAAGGTATTTTGCTCCAGATCTGAGCACCAATGATTCTAAGACCTCTAAAAATTTTAACCTCTAAATGTGCAAATCATACCTTTGGGAAAACAATTTAGCATTTAGATCACATTCACCTCCACATTTAAGTAAAACATTAAAGGTTTTTACACACACTCACACACACACACACACACACACACACACACACACACACGCCACTGTCCTATCCTAGATAGATCAGCAGCTGAACACTTTGAATTCAATCTCTTTCAATTATGTTCTTCCTATGTACAGAATATAACATAATTCTTTCATGGAAACGTGTTCCACATTCTATGTTGAGTTGCTTTTTTCTTATTCTTTTTGATCTAAAACTAGTAAATATCCTTCTGAGGTTTCCTGGGGATTTTCAATATCAGCAAAGATTTTATTTCCCAAGCCTATTCCTCTGTTAGCTTTTCCATTTCAGCAAGTAGAAGCTCTCTTCTTATTCCTATTGGTTTTAACCCCCAAATATAACCCGATTCTACTTCCACCTTACCCTATGTCCATGACTACAGCCATAACTTCCTAATTGGGCCCTCTGCTTTCTCTATGCTGGAATATTCTGCATTTCAGAAATATAAATGAGGTCAGGACATCATGCTATCTGAAATCTTTTAATGTCTTTTCATTGTACTGCAAATGAAATCCAATGCAAACCATATAAGCATTGCCCCTGCATACCTTTATTCCTCGAAATACCCCACAGTCCTGGAGCTGGACTTATGAAGCAAAATGTTAGGAGCACATAGGACTTCTGTTTAAATGCCCCACTCTACTAATCCTCTTGTATAGTATGCTGTTTTCTACCAGCAATTCTCATCTTTGCATTTGCCACGCCATTTAAATAGTACACTGCCATTTTTTTCCTCTTAGAGCCCTATTTAATTTCTTTACAGCATCTTGCACTTTTTGTTGGTTGTTTGCCTTGGTCTCAGAAGGCTAAGTTTTACAGGGATAGGGATTTTGATATACCACTGCCCCTACAGCTGTCAGCACCATGCTTGGATATTAGAAGGTCCTCAGTAAATAATACTTGCTGAATGAACACCTGAGTAAAGCTGCTGCCCTATCTATAGAAATCACTTTTATTTTACTGGTTCCATAAATTCTAATTGTGGTAGGACGCATTGGAGTATACATTTACTGAATGAGAATTAACTACTTATCCATTGAGAAAACATCTAATGCTAGAGAAAGAGAGAGAGAGAGAGAGAGAGGGAGTATTTGAGGGGGAAAGTGGGAGAGGGGCTGTGATAAGGGGGAGTGGCACTGGAGAGAGAGGATCAGAGTTTGAATCTTGATTTCCTGATTTTTGATTTGTGGCCATTGACAGGTGGTCATCCCTCTCTGATCTTGGTTGGCTTACTAAGTTTCTCAGGGGCGGGGCCCAATGTCCTAATGCCAGGTGTTCTGTAGTCAGGTGGAATCCATGGATGCCTTGGGATGAGCGGTGAATAGGGTCAGGAAAGAATATAAAGAAGAAAGTAGGTAATGTATCTCCTGTTTTCCCTGCCACCCCCATTGTCCTTCTCACAGATTCTGCCTCTGAGGATAGGTAAGAAATCTGATGGGGCTGGGGCGTGCAGGAGAGGGGGTTGTGGCAGAAAGGGAAGAGGACAGCGCCAGCCGCTAGGAGCATCACTGGGGAATAAATGAGGGTAAGCTGGAGACTGGGGACAACTGACCTTCAGCAACACTGGCTGGTCTTCCTCCTGAGCACACACAAACAGACGGGTTTTTGAGATTCTTAGAGTCACAGGGTTTGTACTCTGATCTGTTGCTGATATGTAACCACCCATGTCAAATTTCACTGGCAAAGGGAAGAGCCAAAAAGAAAGTTAACTTATTTTTATAAAATCAAACATTCATGCAGATTGTGTGTGTATGTATGTGTGTGTGTGTGTGTGTGTGTTTGTGTAATTAGGTTTCCAACTTTACTGTAAATAAATACCTGGAAGTCAGAAATAGAACTCTGTACATCTCTGTATCATTTACAATATCCACATATTTACCAGACAGGTAAATAGTTAATGCTTTTAGCATTATTTAAGGGCAGATTAAATACTTGCCGAGTCTCTTGTGGTTACATATGGGGGATAAGACCCTATAATTTGTTAGCTCATGAGTTCATAATGACCTAGAAAGTGGAAGAGTTTAGAAAGCTGATACATGCATATGAAAAGAGTTCAATTTCATATATACATGAACAAGTTCAATTTCATACATATATATGAGTGCTGGCACATGCCTGCAATGCCAGC